CTAGTCGAGTGTCTTTACAACTGAGGTCGCAAACTGTTGGAAACGGCCCCTCACTTTCCTTATGACAATTTTGGTAAAAATTTAGTATGCTCTAGTATATAATAAGTATCCACGCACCCGACAGCATCAAACTACAGGCAGATATAGACCTGTTGTACTAGACATCACAAACAGTCTTAGACGATATAGCCAATGAGGACGAAATAATATCTTAGGGGATTTCAATGTAAGAATTGACCATGAAATTATTCCTGGTATCAAAAGTCAATTTAACGGAGAAACGAATAATGAGCTGGCTAAATGATACCGCTATGCATACAAAACGAACTTAGAATTAACAACACTTTCAACCCACATAAACCACAGCATAAATATAAATATAAAATATTCCTTTGCTTCTGCAAATGCAGGAACAAATCACCATCTCGTAATGGCAAAAATGCTAACAACAATTCTTACAACAAATCCGTTGAAGAGGTATGCAAATTGAATATAGAATCCCTATCAGACGACTCGACCAATTACCTTTATCAACAATGGCTTAGACATAAAATAGCTGTTAATAATATCCAAGAGACAGATGACATTGAAGCGGCATGGACAAAACTATAAATACTAAAAGCAGCAGAAGAAGCCTTTGTAAGAAGAACTATAAACAAAGGAGGAAGAACAAATACAAAACCCTGGTTCAGACAAAAAGTCAATATCTTAGCTGACGGGAAAATAAAATCGTATCTCAATACAGATTGAATGCAACAACGCATAATGATTATAAAGCTCTAAGAAACAGAGTCAACCAAAATATTCGAAAAATCAAAAGAGAACACTGAAAGAAATTTTCGAAGGATATGGTATATGACCTCTATGGGGGACAGAAGAAAATATGAAATCTACGGAGAAATAGAAGAAAACCAATAAATGAATACATACAAAACACAAAAATCACGGCAGACGAATGAGAAAGACATTTTAAAAACCTTTATAGTTTAAATAATCTAACGTACCAGCACAGGAATTACACCACGAGGATGAAAAAATCAAGGAAATCCAAAATAGGATTTTCTCCCTGCACAAAATACAACAAATGACAGCCAAGATGAAGAAACCAAAAGCACCAGGCATCGACGAAATAACAAATCAAATGATAAAATATGGAGGCGACCCACTATACGATGAACTATTTTTCCCTTTTGAATAAAATGGAAGGAGAGAAAAAGCCGATCCCCAAAAGTATCGAGGTATTTAATAAGGCAGCCTTTATGTGCTTCATTCATCTCACCCAAGCGTTCGATTGGGTACGCTTAAATGATATCATAACTTTACTAACAAAAAACAATATAATAAGAGTTATCGAAAAACTGAACACGGAAAATTATACCTTTGCGAGAACGGCAACCAAATTAGGCAATAAGATACCTGTAGCAACCGGTATCAGACAAGGGGATACCCTAAGCCCAATCCTGTTCAATATCATAAAGGACGAAATAATAAACGAATTAAAGCAAACCCGGAGAGGATACCGAATGGGAGACAAAGAAATAAAAATAATATGTTATGCTGATGACGCAGTATTTATCTCGGAAGAAGAACATAACCTTCAGAAGCTCCTTTATAAATCCCAACAAATAGCAAAAACGTACAACATGCAAATATCCACAAAGAAAACAAAATTTCTTACAATATCTAAAGAACAGAGAAGATGCAAACTAGCGATTTACGGTCAGAGTGTAGAACAAGTCATGTTCTTCAAATATCTAGTGACAAACAAAACAAATCATAGAAACCTAAAGAATGAAATAAAAGCCCAAACAATAAAGGTAGCATTAATATCAGGATACCTAAGAGATTTAATTTGGCGAAATAAATATAGTAAAGTAAGTGTAAAGTGGGTGTATATAAAACTTGCGTAAGACCGGTCATGACATATGCAATAGAAAGTAGAGCAGAGAACACAACCACTAAATGGCTCTTCTCTTAACAACAACCAAAATGCGAACCCTGAGATCAATAACAGGACATACGGTATTCGATCGGAAGAGAAATGAAGTATGTGTAATATTCAGGATGTAGAAAAATGGGCAAGGAGTCGCAGAAGAGAATGGAGAGATCATGTTGACAGAATGCCAAATGCACGATTAGCAAAAATTGCAACGGAAAAGAACCCAGACACAACCCAACCTTCTGGATGACCACCTATAAGATGGTATGGAAGCTGGTCCTTGGCATGCCAAATACTCTTGCAAACCATTGATGAAAACACAGGACACAGTAGTAACGTAAGAAAAAGGAGAAGGGAAGAATTTTAATAATTGCCCATTATAAATAAAATCTTTTGGCATAACTGTCATTGGAGAATTTTGAGAACAAGTTAGTTTTCCCTCTAGTATTTTTGTAATTGTATTAAAAGCAGTTTCTTTTACAGACATGTACTATAGAAGATTATACGACCCAAACTTTAATAAAAACCTTTGGCAAAAATGCCGACATATAAGTAAATAATAAAAAAAAACTAGAGCCAATGCACATTTTTAAACCGAAACGGTGAATCTGCTTCTCCTATAAAAGGAGTTTATGGAAGTTACGGAGTTTCATGGAAGCCCAGTCTTATTTTCCGGCTTTTCAGTCCCTTGTAGCTTCAAAAACAGGTCCGAACTAAATCCCAAATGAAAGCGGGAATTATAACTAAATCAACGGCCGTTGTACTTTGGAATAAATAATTTTCCCCGACTGCATCGGGAATAATTCCCAAGTGCTCTTAAATGCATGACGGATTATTATTAATTCAACTTCAAACAATGATTAAATATCGCGGAGCAGATGCGATTCTTGTTTTGTTTCAAATATGCGGGACGGGAAGCGTTTAGTTAGCTCGGTGAAGGAGAGGAAATCCTTAATCAATTTTTTTGAATTAATTTTATAAATAACGTTTCGCCTAGGGAAATTTAATATCATTTGTTTAAAATGCCGGAAAGAGGAAGTCTTGCAAAATGAAAATAGTATACATTTGCAATAAGTTTGATAAACGCCATGTTCTGTTACTAGTTTGTGTTGGCACGAGCGGAGCGAGTGTTTAATAAACGAGTGACTGAAGTAGCTTATCGATGTATTGCATACTATACTATTTCTACCATCACTAGTCTTATTTATCGAGTTACGTGCGATGTCATCTCCCAAAATCTCCCAAACCCGTAACTAAATTATCGGAAATATCTGGCGAATACGGGATATAGTGCTTTCACAGTTTCCGTTATAAGAGTCTCAAATGTGACACGCAGTCATATTTCATGGACAAAATTAGTTAGTGACCGCAGGTATATAAACGTAATATTGGATTAAAAAATATTCGTATTAACTCTAAAGATCAAATGGGACTTTTTAACCAATCTTATTCGTACTGTATCTACCATTATCCTGTGACACATTTAAATGTAAACTGAAGGAACATTTGTTTCACTATCATCATTTTAATGTTTATAATTTTATACTGGCTTTTCCCTTTTATTCAAATCCTTTTTTCTTTATTTTTTGTCCCCCTCATTTGCATATTTATGTGACTACTATACAATTTTATCGTATAGCATTAGTTGTTGACATATTATTTTGCTAATTTTTTTTGAGGCTGCAACTGCGGGATGTGTTCTAGTAGACAGAATTTACGGCCATTTAACCTACCGTTTAATTTCATTTATTTATTGTCACTTTTTTTCTCTATTGTGTTAATAAGAGTTTAATTTTCATTATCATTAAATAGTTTTCACCTTGACAATCCTATTGCTAGGCACAGTGTCACATTAAAGAGAAAGCATACACCTTTCGAAACCAAGCAAACTCTAAAAATTGTTTGAGTGCAATGAAGATGCAACGGCAGAACTTTTTGAATAAAGGTTCAAGGATTGCCTTCTGCTGCACATTCCTCAGAATAGGGTTATAGTAGTGGGCAATACGAGCTATTCCAATAGTCAACTACATAAGGTTCCAGGGCCAACGACGTTATTGTGTCTTTAATCCTTCAAAATTCTTCTCTCACTGTAGGTGCTTTAAAAAGGTTTATTGGATTTCATGAAAACATTATTCTTTTCTTTCCGCAGTCCGATTATCTACATCTTTTTACATTGCTTATTTAGAGCATGTTTAAATCATCGAGTATGAGTCTTGTTTTTCTTTACTTTTACGAATTTACCTTTACAAAAGCATATTTTCAAGTTTCACGGCTAACTCATTTTATTTTTTGGACACTGTCTTAAATTTTGTCACTTTCTTGTTTTTTCATAGGTGTCTATTAGCTGTTTTCAGAATTACTTTCATTCCCATCCGAGTGCTAATCTGAAGAATGAAATTCACTTCTTGAAGTTGCAAATGGGTGACTTAAACCACTATCATTGCTTTCTCTATTTTTTTTCTTAGGTGCCATCAATCACATAAACCAATATTATGGATGCAATAAAATATTATAAAACATATGTGTATGATCGGGATAATTGCCTATTCCGGTAAAATGCGTAACATATATGATGTACGAACTCAAATAAATAGAAGAAATTAATTCAAAGAAATCAAAAGAACCATTAGTCAAAATCGCAATAATCTAGCTTAAGAAAATGTTTAAATATAATTAGGTAGATACCATCACCAAAGCAAATTCTTCGAACGCACTGTATGGAGCCGAGGTTCGCGGCCATATTGAACAGATCTTTAAGAGAATATGATAACTTAGAAATACCCAGAGGATGAGATGATGAGACGGTGATCCACACTTAGAGAAATAGAAAAGGTTCGCAACGACAATACTGTAATAGGAAGAAGAATACGTTTTTAAATTCGGATAAACAAATCCCACTTTTATTATTGCTAGGTTATTTTGGCACATAATTAAATATCTCATGCAACGAAGATATGTGAGTCAAATTTATTCATATTTCTATTCAATGCTCTTTCAAAAATACATAAACATAATTTGCGATTATACTTTGGTAGGTGTACGAAAATAATAAGTTACTTACTTCCACACTAAGATGACAGCGATGAAGACGAGCAGTCCGAGTAACACTGAACACAAAACTATCACAGCCAAGGTCTGGGAAGATGGACTACTACGGTAACTGGCATCGATCAACTAAAAAAGAAGAAAGCGTATACAGTTTTATTGCAATTTTCGTTAAGACGTTGCAAAGTACTATTTACAAATCTTCTGAATGCCTTCTACGTCGGTTGATGATAAATCCAGCTTGCTAATATTTCGCCAATTGGTTTCTTCAGAGCTTAACTGAAACCATTAATAGCCGACGCAAGGGGAATCCAAATGATTTGTAAATAGTATTACAGTAGCCTGTGGAAGTAGAAGAAAAATTAGGACTGCAAATAACCACCAATAATACCCAGTTCCTTTGAAATTAAATAGTTTTTATAAACAGCAAGATCATATCTGTAAAATGCAATTGCTAGCTGTAGTGTACGAACATACCATAATCCAAAAAGTAACTTCTACATATGTAAACTAACATTAGCAATATGTTTCATGGTTTCATGATACCACTTGTAAAACCATCGAGGGAGGTATGGACTAATCATAAAATTAATTAATCAATAAATTAAAGAATTTTTTTTGCAGCATATGTTTAATTGCAGTTGTTGCAAGTCATTCGGTTTCTACGACTGCAACCCTCCGACTAGAATGCACATGGTTTTCTGCTCTAACCAGTAAAAATGGACGTAGTTACCAAAGTTTACATTTCTATAAACTTTGCAGTTAGAGTCATTATTAAAATGTTAGATTAGAAGTCTTTGTATAGGTGTTTTAGTTTTTGTCGATTTTTGCCTTAAAGATTGGTTTGTTACTATTTTCTTTTTCTTTGAGGAAAAGCACAGTTCCCAAGTAAGTATATCAATACGGTTATAAGGTGCGAAAATGATCTAGTAAAATATTAATAAATATATACTAGTGTGGTGGTGGATATGCTAGTACAAAAAGCAATTTTTATTTTTTACATGTAATTCTTTAAAGTCCCCACACGCAGAAAATTTTCGTATTCAAAGTGAGTTAAGCAATAGGAAAATCTTTTGAAATAAGAGCTGATGACAAAGTTCTTTTTTTAATGACAATAGTTTGGAAATTATTTATCAATAGAGTGTCTTACTCGTTTTGTCCTTGTTGTCTTAAGCTTGACCCGCATTTTGATATTTAGCAATATTATGTAGTATCTACTGCTGTAGCTCTTGTAATTTCGTCCCATATCAGAATTTTACTTGACTAAATACTAAACGAAGCCTTATGGGAGAAATATAATGACATCTGATTATTTAAAGCAAATCTGGAATTACTGGTAATCAATTTGCCCTAAAGTCTAAGGGTTTTATTAATTTCATAACACTTCTGGTACAAACTGGTACAAAGTTAAAAGAGTTTATTTTCTACTAGTAAATAAAAAAAAAACTACTTATTTCTCTGTATTCTATAGATAGGGCTTATTACAACTACCAAAAATGGAGATAATTACCAAATAAATATCCAAAAATGATGTAAATGGAATGTGGGGTCATCAATCACTTAAATACATAATCCCTTGTGATGCTTAGACAGGATGTTTAGAATTTTAGAAAAAAAAATAAATTTATTACTCAAGTGATGTAAAAACGGACTACTGCACTAAATTTAGATCCATTGCGGTATTTGGGGTTTCCGTATAAAAAAAAAACATAGGGGCACCCTTGCGGTTTACCGCCGTATTTTATTTCGAAAACGTTTACGGGAATTTAATGTTGCCGCTAGGCGTCGCTAAACTCGCGCGCGCATAAAATTGAAAGTATTGCGCGTTAAAAATAAACTCTGTTTGGAAAGCTAGCATTAGCGAGGGCAGATTTATCTTTTGATTACATGGTAGATCAGCATCTGTTTATAATTTTGTCAGGGATTAACTCTTCGGAAATCTTGATAGGCAAAGAGGATAAATAAAGCAAGCGTGGTCTGGTTTATTTTTTAAAATAAGCCCCGCCAACCGTTTACGTAAAAATTAGAAGCGTTAATGCATATTGCGCTAAACAAAAATTCTAGAATACTTATTATGTAAATGTTCTTAAAGACGTAGTTCGTACAGTCCAATGCAACGTTGCCAAATGTAAATATTTTTACTTCTTTTTGACAAATGACAAGTTTCACTAAATAAATATCCAGAATGGAATAGTAAAAAAAAGAAAAAGAAACAATAAAAAATGAAAACCAAATAAAAAGTGTCCCGACTTGGCAAGGTCTATTTTGTTGTTTATCTCTTTTGGGTTCAAGATAATGAGAGATGCTCAAAAATTTTCAATATATCAAAATTAAATTTAATTTTTAACAGACTTTCTGAAAAAGTCAACGAAGAGGGACATAGTAGTGACTTTTTAAATAACTTTTAGAGGATAAATACAGATCTCATGTAAAACAATCCAGATCAGAAGCCTATTCCTGGTAATATACACAAAAACTGGATTGATATATAGATACTACTACACATTAATCAGTACTTATAATGCAGTAGTTAGTATTGTTTTTGTAAGCATTAATAAACATAATCATGAGTATACTATAATGACGTGTTATCATTTTGGTTGAAAAATCTTTAATTTGTTAAGTGTCAGTGAAATCCCACACTCTTCCAACTTATAAAAAGGAAATGAAGAGGCTATCGTTGAGCTATACATTCTATATATCAGAAAAATTTGAAATGTACTGAGTAATCAGTGAATATATGCAGAAATTTTGTATTTTGTTTATTTGTAGTATTTAATGTACAAGTTGTAGGTATTTGCCTTGTCTTATCTACAATAATATACAACTACACTTAGTAATGCTTAGGGTCCTGCCTGTTGAGATTTTGATCAATTATGATCCCAACGTACTTAGTAATTTCACCTTATTCACCATAATTTAATTATCTAATTTTAATATGTCAAAATTTCTAACAGTAAAGGCAATACATATAATACCTTTGAAGGTTTTTGAACATAGAAAACTTTAGAAGTGTATTGTTGTTTGAAATTTATGAATTTTATCGTTCCAGCTTGGGCAGTTTTGGATGTATTTAAGCGTTACGGTACCTTTAACTGGAAAGCGGTGTTGCCGAAGCTTAATAATTAAATCCATACCATTTAAAATAATAAAATTAAGGCTTGTGATGTAAAACTGGTAAATCTGACAACACTGCTGTTGGCATTTTTGAATTCTGCAAGTTCAAAAACCCCCAGGAATTTTATCGCCTAGCTGTGTTAGTTTTGGGAATATTTAAGTGTTCCGGTACATTTTACTAACCCGGTATATGTTAAGCGAAAGAATCTAATCAATTTTTGATTCTCCACAAACTTTGTTCTGCAATGATTTTAACTCATTCATAATTTTTTAATTATTGAAGGTCAAAGTTCAAAAATTGGCCACATAATTGCAAAAACTAATAGGGTTTTAAAGTTTTTTTTTATTTTTTTTTTCGTGATAGCTTATTAAGCGCTTAGATATTACCTGCCTGGTCGACATAAATATTTATTATCAGTTGAGAACCTTAAGCTTTACTTTTCCTTCTAAAATAAGTTCGAGACAAAGAAGAATTTCATGGCGGTTAAAAAATAAGGCTCGAGTGAAAACAAAACTCAAATTGAAGGTATGTTTTTGAGCATTTGTTTTGGATTTAATATTTGTTAATGTCGCGATATATTTGTTACGAATCGGTAACATTTTTTTAGAACTAAATATTTTGTGGGATCAACAAGATCTAGGTCACTGAAGATGCTATCCCTGCTACAAATACCAACTTGTATGGTTTTTTTGTTTCATAAATTAGTTGTTTTGAAATCCATTTTAAATCAGCAAACTGCATGTCTCTATTCTTTAAAAGAAGAGTTTAATAATAATTCATTTATGTTATTACAATAAAAACACACTCTCTTCGTTTAAAATTTTTGAAAATAAAAGTTCCGAACGAATTACAAAAGTGTGGGTATTAGTTAACGGGTTTCGAGATATGTTTCAGTTAGGTGGAGTTTAATTATGTTTAGAGTTTTAATGTTGTTTTTTTATCTAACCAAAAGAAAAAAATTCAATTCAATACCCTCACAGACAATGAATGTAATAAATGTTTAGATTATATTTTAGAATAACTAGGCAGGTACCATAAAATCATTTTCATCATAAGGAACAGTAGGTAAGTAAGTACGTTTATTGTTATTATTTTAAGACTTTTTTAATTTTCCATATAATAAGTTCACTTATATCTACAATTTTTTAATGAACTATAGCGCTTTTAATATCTTTAATACCACAGTTTCAGATTAAGAGAAATTATAAATGGAAACGATTCTCTTACATATTCATTTGCTATAATTGATATTTGTACTTTTATAATTGGGGGTTTAGTTGTTATTTCATCTTTCAGGCATCTACTTCGCGGATTTTTGATTAATGTTATTTAATAAGGAAAAGCTTTTCGAATAAATAAATAAAAATAAAAGTGAACTTTGGTTTGGTCTAGTTTTATGGAGGGTATCTATGGCAATTTTAAGAAGCTCCGCCTGCAAGAAAATTTTCATTTTACTATTCAGTATTTCCCAGTCAGAAACTTTTCTATACCAGGCACAGAACTGAATAACTTTGTGATGTAGGGGGACATCCATTTGCTTTTATTGCGATTTATAGATATAATTCTTAATAGGGCAATTGCAAATGACAAAAAGTTTGAAGTATGGTTAGGCTAGTTAAAGTTGCCGAGTTGTAAATATCCGAAATTTTTCAAAGAAACTGCTACAGGCACCTGTAATACTATTTACAAAACTTCTAAAAATAAATCAGGGTTATATAAATACTTTTGGTTAGTTTTGTTAGTTTAGTTAGTATTTACCTAATTAATAATGATTTTTTAGTGGAATTTTAAATATTTTTGAAGGAAATAAATGCATTTTTTTGCTCCCTAACTCTAAAATGCTCAATTTTGTATGGACCAGGCGTCCGGAAAGTGTTACTTTAACCGGTCAACTTCGTTGCCCACAGTCGTCAGCCACTTTGGACGTTTCCGGTATTTGTAGCCATGGACGTTTGTCAATTCTGATGGCCACGTCACATGTCACTCAGTAAATGTATTCGTGCCGAGTTGC